CTCTCTCCTAGTTCAGCAGTTTAATCTTTATACCACATAATTTTTCGTCCAGTCTTGATCCCGTTTGAACGAATTAACAAGTAATCCGAGTAGCAGTTGTTATTCGCGGCACAATATACGGAAATTGTCATCTATCTGATTGCCCATGCAGTATTAAAAAACTTGAGCATAATATTCATGGCAGCTTTATTGACCTTCAGCGCCTTGGCCAACGACCGCATTGACCGGCAACAAAGAGACGCGTCACAACATCGCTGCAGAACGGCAAACTAACCCCTTTATAACATTCGACCCGACACTCTTCAGCGCTTTGTAGTCTGAAAGCTTTGAACTGAACGTTTCCTGAGCATATTTTTTCCACTCACAGCAGTATATAGGCAAGTACAAACGTGAAATTGTTAAAATAATTAATTTGTTGCCTGATTTTATAGTTTGCCGCCTATGCAACCTTACGACGCGGCAACGAGCATACAAATTTGTGCATTACCGGTCGAAAGGCCGAAATAGTTTTTCTTTTCTCGCAGCTTAAATCCAATAAAATGGGCGCATACACAAGTAACCGTCCGCAAATTGTTCACCGCAATACTGCACAATTTCGGCTCCTTCAGAAAAAGCTTTTTTAGATTTTTTTCTGTCAAAATTCGGCACCGAAGCTGCACTAATTCACGTCATGGCCACGCAGGCATAGATCCCTCGTGCGCGACGCTCGAGAATGCGATTTAGAAGGTTAGATTGGTCTTGTCGGTAATTGCTACTACTTCGCGGTAAATGGCGCTATATGGCATCGGTGAGTCGATCGACCATTGTGTATGACACGGGATTCGACTCACTTGTGACTCAGAATGCGCATCATATACGCTGCAACTAGTTTTCCAAGCGCAGTTAGAGTTTGAGATCTTGGTTATTTAACATGAATATCAAAGTGTATAGTGGTGTATGCGACGAAAACACCTTGTGGGTTATTTTTATTTTAGTTTTGAAAATCCATTCGATGTCAGAATCATGTAAAAGATAAATAAATAAATAAATATTATATGTGTACTATATATATATACAAGGTACTGAGTCAGCAGTACCTGAGTCACATGCAATAAAAAAAGTGCGATTTTCAAAAAAAATATTGACAAAGCAAGCACAAAATTGTTGTGTTTCTAACTTTCCTGATTATTTGCGGGGGAAAAATTCCCTTTGTTTTTCAATGATTTCATTAATTTCCAGGTGACTGTCAACATGCCAAGGCTTAACAGAAAAAAGCTAAACATTTTGTAAATGGTTTTAGAATAATAACATTCAAACATAAACATAGGTATGTAACGATCAAACTTTTGTGAATGCAATGTTGACTGAGAATTATCCATTAAAACTTGAGTAAAAAATCAACTTTTGCTCTATACTAGAATAGTGGGACAAATCGACATTACGCAAAACTTTTTTCACAATTCATAAAAACAGTATTTCTCTATTTGTTACTGTGGCATATGCGTTTGTAGGTATATTGCAGGAATCCCTTCCAGTTTGTCTTCTTAGAATGAGGAGTCTCTGGGGTAAGATTCCATAAGAATAATGTCTTTGTGAGTCAATCCACTAAGGCGATCTGCAGTCACACTTAAACCAGACTATCCAATGGTGTGGTATGAAGAATACAGAAAATGGCAAAATGTGGGAAAGTATTCATTATCAAAAGCCACAGGGGCTGCAACTGCATCCTTGCGACAACTATTTACTGGCACATCATTGTACAAAAGCTTCTACTTTATATTTTTCACTTTTGATGTTTTCCTCTATAGAGAGAAGAGTAGTGTTTAAAGACAACGATGTTCTGTCCACTAATGACAACGAGTCACAATAATTACACAGGAACACTACAAGTGATTTTTCGGATGTATTTCCTCAGCATTGATAAGCCAACAAGTAGAAAATATCATCCGCTCTTTGCCACTATAAAAGGGGACCTGTTAGCGAGAGGGTGAAAGAGGGCAACCTGGCATGTTGCGCCACTTACTGGCTAGAGTAATCCCTGACTGCTTCCACGCGAGCGCATTGATTGCTGAAGATTGGAAATTGGACAGAGCGTGAATGAAAGCAAACAGCTCTGCCGCACTGGCAGTTCCAACAAATCAGTAAAAATAAAAATAATGTATAATAAATCTTATTGCACCACTAATAACTCTCCTATCTGCGGTAAACAACTCCAAACTGCAAAAGAAAAGCCTAACGTCGGCGCGAATGCTGACTCTCTGCACTAAGCTGCGTACTCACCATACATAGTATTGGATTATGTATTATGTCAATCATAGAAGAGTTATTAGTGGTGCAATAAGATTTATTATACATTGTTTTTATTTTTACTGATTTGTTGGAACTGCCAGTGCTCTGCTGCTCACCGGCAGAGGTGGTCCACCGTAGTTCCACGGAGGCTCGGACATCCGTGTAGAAACACGAGTCTGGAAATTCTGAAGCGCCTTGTTGTACATAACAGCGAGCTTTACCTATAATATTATAGGTGGAAATTCATCAATTATATATCGAATATGACCATATTATCATTCCCACCGACGTAAGGTTATACTCTCTCTAAGCAACTGTTTCGTATTTTTGCCTGATAATAAATTACATTAAATGTACATTTATGTTTTTGCAGGCTAGGGTCTAGGTTCGTGCATTTTTTGAAATTATGGTAAATTAGTTACTTACTTACTTAGGCCTACTTACGTGGTTGGTTGGTTCACAGGCACTTGAAGCGTTTCAATAAAATATAATGCTAACTAAATACGAAATCTATATTATTAGTACAAAATTCTTAATGTTTCTATACTATACTAGCTAGGCCTACTCTTTTTCACCTACGGCTACACCGCCGATAGTTTCCAACCACTGCATTACCGGGTGCCATTGCTCTCGCGGCGCGACTGTTGCACGCTTACACTAATATAGAGAGATTACACATTAAGAATTTTGTACTAATAATATAGATTTCGTATTTAGTTAGCATTATATTTTATTGAAACGCTTCAAGTGCCTGTGGGTTGGTTGATTGGTTGGTCGGTTGGTTGGTTGGTTGATTGATTGATTGGTTGGTTGGTTAGTTAGTTAGTTAGTTAGTTAGTTAGTTAGTTAGTTGGTTGGTTAGTTAGTTAGTTAGTTAGTTAGTTAGTTAGTTAGTTAGTTAGTTAGTTAGTTAGTTAGTTAGTTAGTTAGTTAGTTAGTTAATTAGTTAGTTTGTTAGTTAGTCGTGTCCTCAGACGAATATCTCAAAATGCGAAGTGATAAGTTGGTTGTCACGTGACTAACGATGGCGGCAGCCAACGATGGCAGAATTACGAGGAATTCATTTGCCCGGCGGTAAGCAGAATATCGCGTTGATGCACAGGCGCATATACACACTATATACACGCCCGCGCCCATGCACATGCACATGTACACACTCGCACAGGCAGTCGCACACGCACCAGCACACGTACGCGCGCACACACACGCGTACGCACACACACATGCATATTATAGACATAACATCAAGAGCATATAAAGAAGGCCTTCTTTATATGCTCTTGATAACATGATACAGTACGCATTCCGTCGCACTCGATCATCATCGCAGTAATCCGCGAACTACATAATCACAGTAAGGCACCGCTAATTGTCCCGCACAATCAAGACGATGACGTACAGACATTGTCAGCGGCAGCAGATACAACAGCAGCAACAGCAACAGCAACAAACAACAATAGCAGCAGTAACAACAACAACAGAAGCAGCAGCACCACCACCATCACCACCAACAGTAGCAACAGCAACAGTTGTAGTAGCATCATCATCATCAGCAGCAGCAGCCGCCGCCGCCGTCGCAGCAGCAGCAGCAGCAGCAACAACAACAGCAACAGTAACAGCAGCAACAGTAATAGCAGCAGCAACAGCAGCAACAGCAGTAGCAGTAGCATCATCATCGTCATTATCAGCAGCAGCAGCAGCGACAGCCGCCGCCGACGCAGCAGCGGCAGCACAGTGGTGATAGCTCGCTCTTAATGAATTCGGCAGCTTCCCGGGCGCGAGCATGAATAATACCGGTCTCTCCTTCTCTCTGCGACAAAGCGCCGCTCGAAATTATCACCCATTCTTTTCGCCGCCTATCGGGAAATTGCGTCTCGACTGCTAATCACCGTGAGGGGGTCTCGCTGCTGCTATTTGCCACACGGGGGCGCTCTGCTCGCCCTGCTCCCACCGATACGGCGTCGTCAAGTCGACCAGCTGGTGCCTCGGCGACGATTTTAGACATTTCGTGACACTTGCCGACTTTGTGATCCCGTCGTCAACGTCGTCGTCGGCGGCGGTGTTTTCGCAGTGAGCGCGCGTGTGTGCAGTGAGTGCGTTGAGCAGCTTTGATGAGGGAAGGGGCGCGCGGGTGCAGCGAGCCAGGTATACGCGCTGTCTTATTACGGCATTCCGCATCAAAGAGCACCAACCGTATAATGCTTATTAACCACGTACGGCGACTGCCGCCTCGATTCATTACGCCGAACTCTAATATACTAGTGGCCGACAGCCATACGTTAATTGCCGCCGAGAGCGAACGCATCGGCAACAACAATTCTAATTTCATCGCTTTGCAAAGACGCTGTGCTCGTTGTCTCTCTCGCATCGCTTCTCGGTCGTCACGGGACAATCAAACGTAGAAATTCATGTGCTTATTTGTCACAATATATCTTGTTACGCATGCACTGACGCATTAGACTGCTATACCAAGTCAATTTTTTCTAAATTAAATAAATAATAGAAACTGTTTCCTGAAGATAAAGCTGCTTAGATGTTCTACATAACGGGAAAATTGCCGCGTTTAAGTCCCATTCTGCATCATCTACTGAATCAACAGTTGTGTTATAATCTATTGTTATGATTTATTACTGGCCAGTTATCTCTACATGGGATATATTGACAAGGTGTCAGCATGTAGCCTGTAGGCAGCATATGATTTTGCAAGTAATAATTGAAGACGCGTTTATTACCTCTAAGGCTGGCTCGTAGGCGGCTAGCACCGTAGCATTCACAGTTCCGTTAATTGTCCACGGATGCAAATCCTCAGCATTCTGCGCCATCATTCTATCACGAAGAAACACATTTAGTCGATATTATTAACGGGTCTATGTGGAGCATTTTGTGCAAGTGGGTTGTTCTATAAAACTTCTTCTATAAATGCAATATAAACGTACCCGATGTATCATTAACTATACAACTTCTTCTGCTTGCATCTATGACAAATACGACATACGCATATACGCTCTCCTATGACACTATTTGTCATAGGAAGAATCTTCCTATGACAAATACGACATACGCATATACGCTCTCCTATGACACTATTTGTCATAGAACAATTCTTCATATGACAAATATTGGCGAGTTAACTTCGTTCCGCTTTACAGCTGAAATTTACTGCTTGCGTTCATAATAGCGCTTCTAAACTCCTGTGATGCGCACAACACATACAACAATATTTGTCATAGGAAGAATCTTCCTATGACAAATAGTGTCAGAGGAAAGCGTATATGCGTATGTCGTATTTGTCATAGATGATAGCAGAACAGGCTAAACTATTCGACATGCACCTTCTTACATATTATTATCTCCATCATCATTGAATACACTATCCGGTTATGCCCTGTCCCATCTCCGGACTTTTAAGCGATTCCTACCCCCAAGCGAAAACCCTCGTAGCCTTCCGCCCGTGCATATTCATTCTCAGCTATACCTTGGGATGATGAATGTGTACTCGTCACTTCGCAGACCTATACGGTGGGCTTCTACTAAAACCCTACTCTCGGACTCGTATGAAGCCGTCTCAAGGCAGAGTAGCAGTACTAGAAAAAAGTTTTAGCCATTTACATACTGCGAGGTGTACTTTTTCAGTCGCGTAGGTGCTAAGCACTTAGACGGCCTAAATGAGCAAAACACATCAACGTTTATTTCCACAAATAGACACGCGTGGCGTTGATATATCTGGTTAAAAATATACCCGTTCGTTCCTTGCGTTACGAAACGTTATAAAACAGACTAGTTTGTGCGAAAAGCTGGTAACTAAAGTCGCTAAATTATTAACAACAAAAAACACTGCAAACCCGACCGCTCGGAAAACGACAAAGGTGTCGTCCAAGCTTTGTCACAAACACACATAATAAAATCGAACATCAAAGTGACGTGAATATCAACATGTTCTGCTAGCATCTATGACAAATACGACATACGCATAATTATACCCTCTCCTATGACACTATATATTTGTCATAGGAAAATTCTTCCTATGACAAATATTGTTGTATGTGGTGTGCGCATCATAGGAGTTTAGGCGCGCTATTATAAACGCAAGCAGTGAATTTCAGCTGTAAAGCGAAACGAAGTTGACTCGCCAGTATTTGTCAGTAGGAAGAATCGCCACCGGTAGGTAGGAAGAATCTTCCTATGACAAATAGTGTCATAGGAGAGCGTATATGCGTATGTCGTATTTGTCATAGATGCAAGCAGAACAAGCTGCGCGCGTCGCACGCACCTCGACCGTCATCCGCCATGGCGCGCACGACGTCGGCAATCTCGTCGTCGGTCACGCGACGTTTCATGTTGTCGGTTCTCAGGTGGATGTGCTGTCTGACGGTGAATCCGGCCGCCGTCAGCCTCGCGTTTGCCAAACATTACTGGTCGCTATATGACGCCTGTCCATTACAAATATTGCTCACGTGCGTCGTGCCACTTACGCCAGAGAGGTAAATTATAATTTGTATAGGTAATAATCCCTTCACATACACGGATTTTTCTTACGAGTCTTTACGGATCGCACAATTCGTAAAAGTACACGGATCCTTACGATTTGGCTACTTTTACAAGCGATTTACGTGTTATTACGAGCTAATTACGGTTTATTACGGATTAATTTATTACGAGTTATTACGATGTATTTACGGCAAAATGCCACGATTTGTTAAGAGTTGTCACGTGAAGATTGTGAAGATTTAGGTGTTAATTCGACCAAAAAACTAAATTATCTTAATATTATTTCTTGCTCTATATCACATTTCAACAGGGTGCTACTTCTCCGATAATATTTCAGTGAATGATAAATCCTATGTATGTAGAAAGTAACAACAATTTTATATGGTAAATATTTAATACTAAAATTCTCCCATTAGCATTAAACATAAACAACCCTTTGTTCAAACATGATATAAAAAAAGTCTATTGTAGTAGTCAGTTTGGATACATGAGCTCAAGCATCAAATTGAAAGTCATAATATCCTTCACATGAACACATTGTAGTACACCCAAGTCCAGCTTCATGGCATCTACCTTTCCTTGTGCATAGAGGCAAAACTTTACATCCACAACGGAGAAGCTCTCGACAAGCCTTGGCCGCTTCAGGTAGATCAGTCCAGTGGTATCCATCAAGTTGCAACTTTCCTCCACCCATAGTCCTCTGGCGATGGTTTGTCGGTGAGTGGTGTGACACCAAGGAACCATCTCTCGCAGGCACTACTCAAAGTTTCTCTCTCGATGTGATCGAACAAAAGCAAATCTTAGCAATTACAGTTCCTGAATCAGCTGCCAGAAGCGGAAGGTGGGGCTTCTTTCCTCCATCCTTATTTTTCATGTACTACTATTTTCATCTCCTTTTTTTAACTGTTCATATGCCCCATATTCCAGTTAAGCAAGAGCCAGTGCAGTGACTTGCATAGATATATGAGTCTGCTCTACCCGATGTTGCCACGCCACTGTCAGTCAGTATAGTAATCCAGCCAGATTCATCCAGGAGATCACTAACGATTTTCCAAAAATTCATCTCTGTGTGAAGTCCCCCTAACATTGGAATGATTCGATCTTCACCATATTATTTTCATTTTTATTTTCATTTTTATTTTCATTTTTATTTTTATTTTTATTTCACTATATTCATTTGGCCAGGCCCACTGAACATACTTCACGAGAGCAAACAGCGGCTGGTCACAGGCAATCACAGGTACTTGTTCTGGATTTAAGTATTTAGTGATAGTCTGCAGGGTGTCTATGCCATGCTTAATCATTGATAAGGTTGCAGCTTTCTCTTGGAATAGAGGAAGGAGGATACCTACCCCAAGGGGGGTTGTTTTCTATGCCACACACAGCTGGCTGGCAGAGATTGATGTGCGCTGGTCACGGAGTAATGTTTTGTCATCACATATTCTTTCATCTCTCTGTAGTCAACTGCGTGGCAATCTTTTAGCCATGCTCTACTCATCATTGCAAACATCATCAAAACACTTGGTCTTTTTTCTGGCAACTTTAATAGTCTTACTCACTGAGGCATCCACGAGCTAGAACTACAAAATATTCCTGGTTGGCCAACCTGTATTGGACCTGAAGCAGGCCTCACAGCTGAAAGTTTATCATACCACGAGACTCTACTTGATTTCGCCTCAGTCTACAGCTTGAAAAATACTGGATATCCCTGTACCATGAAAACGAACTCCTTGGCTGTTGAGAAAGCAGGGATTGTGGCTCCAGCTCGATTCGACTAGCCTCCACGGCTCATATAAGCCTTATTTCCGAAGATTTATCGGGCGAATTATTCGCCGTCTGATGTCGGTACTTCTCTGTCACTTGGCACTTGTGCTAAGTTGTTCTGCAAGTGCTAGAGTCAGCGCTATGTAGTTTATGCGCTCGAGGCCCAATGAATGCAGCTGCTCAACAGACTCTATATTAACTACTCCGAGTGTGCTATCTTGATTACCGTATATAAAGAGGCAAGGCATCCTCTGGATCTGTAGTCCTACTGTAGACCTTTTTGTACTTTTATTTTGGGTCATGGTGAAGGCATATTAAGAATGGTGGCGATAAGCTGAGGCAGCTTTGAAGCTTGTCCTTGTGGCATCCGTAAATATTGTATTTACTTGTGCCATTCATGTCAGGGTAGGATACAATGTTTACAATTGGATACTTGGATGCTAGGGTAGATTTGACAAACGGCAGCAAGTTAACCCATTTTAATTGTTTTCTGGCTTGTCAAATATGTCTTTCCAAAATCTGTTTAGCCACGCTTTACATCTCGGAGAGGCATCCGTATCGTGATCGCTGATTTACTTCCGCTCAGTAGGTCACCGCAGGCCTGCTGTGAACAATAGGCATTCTACTCACGCACGAGATGACTGCTCCGTGACCACTGCCTTGGAAGTGATTAGCAGGCTTAATCTTTCAGTCTCGTTCGATTTACATCACTGTCTACGCCAAGTCTCTTCCGGCCTTCATACATGGTGTGTGAAGGTCTTGCAGGTGGGCGAAAATGTACGTGGCCGATCTCTCCATGCGAGCCTTTCGGTGATGTGTGACAGCCAGCTCTGCAAAACACCGTGGCTTTAAAGTAATTGCCTTTTTCTGTCATCTTGTTTCTCTGCTGAATTTCTTCGTATATCGAACGGTAGCGGTTTCTGAATGCAGTGAGGCAATCAAAGTGATATTTAGAATTCCTGGCTTATCACATCAACTGCTGCATATTTGGCCGAGTAGAACTGAATGATGAACGAGGAGCGTAATTAAAGCAAACAATTTTTTAATTTTTTTTTTAAATTTTAAGCCCGCTAATTAAAATCTTTAAAAAGCGTCAGTCAGTCCACTCTCCAGATAATTAGCCCATTAGTCAAATAATCGAATTCATGACCTTAAAACATTATTTTAGACACCAACATCAATTTAAAATATCTCAATTAGACCCAACGATATGAAACAAGTAGAATGCACTGCGTTTTTCCGATGGCGCCATTTAACAAATAATCCAGGAATATGGGCCGCCAACCGGAAGTTGATAGCATGCGGGCACACCACCTTCTAAAATTGATCAACGTAATACGCTACCGCTAAACCACGAAAAAACTTTTTGTCTGGCCGTGTAAATATTTTGACCCTAATCTAGGCCCTAAGCGTCATACAAGAAGAGAACAACTCTGATAACAACTGATAAATAACGTGTTCGATTTTTGCAGGGCCTTTTCCCAAATCGTTAATACAATACGTAAAGAATATCGTAAAGTGTAGTCGTATCTATTCGTAAACGATTAGCTCGTAAACAACCTCGTAACATAATGCGTAAAGCATTGTAACACGACCGAACTGAAAATCGTAAACAAGACTTAAGCACTCGTAATAAATCCGTAAAATCATCCGTAAAACACAATCGTAATCTAAACCATACGCGAAATCGTAACAACTAAATTGTTACGAGTCATTTATTCGGATCTTGCGAGCAGTTTACGGATGGTTTACCGTGATTGTTTGCGAGCGGTTTAGCGATACTTAAACGGATTGTTAAACGAGTTATTTACCAGGAAAAAATCAATCCCGTGGACACTCCCCCGTGAGAAGGTTTTTGACAATAGTCAAGAAAAAGTTTGCCTCTCATTTCACGAAATCCTTACGAGTCGTGTCTGCGAGTTTGACGAAGTTGAATACAGAGATCACCAGCAAGTTATTTAGAATGCTTGCGATTGACTAGCGAGTTGGGCGATCCGTAAGGACTCGTAAGAAAATCCGTGTATGTTGAAGGGGGTAGACGAGATCGCCTTTCTACCGTCGTAACCATGAGTATATCGCTTTGTCTACCCTCGCTATTCGTTTCTATTAAATATTGTAGATCATTATTATACTCTTGTCACACGTGCCATTAAGACTACGTTAGGCTGGCCTCACAGTTAACACTGTTAGTGGCTAAGCACAACAAATTATAATATTGTGCACATTCGGGTAGAATTGTAAAGTTTTGTGCTACTTGGATTCCTGAAGATGATATGATCTGATATAGTGCTAATTACGCAGTGCTACCTCGTGGCCTACAGTGATTACCTAGTAATTTCTTTAGTCAACTGCACTGATATAACATCAATAATAGTAATAATAATAATAATAATAATAATAATAATAATAAGTATTATTATTATTATAATAACAACGACAACAACAACAATAACATAAAATAATAATAATAATAATAGGGCCTAATAACGATAATAATTAAATAATAATTCAGACGTGGCATAGTGCAGCATCCGCTCAACCGTCAGATGCGCTGCTAATTAACACCATATACAAAATTATGAGAAACTGAAGGTTAGAAGATTCCTCAAATGTGTACAAAATTGTGCATTTCTACTCAAAAGTGCACAATTCATGTGCTTATTTGTCACAATATATCTTGTTACGCATGCACTGACGCATTAGACTGGGCTATGACAGCTCAAGTCAATTTTTTGCTAGATTCCCAATATAAGAATAGAAACTGTAAAATTCGCTGAAGATTAAAAGGCTGGCTTAGCATGTCCTTTCTTACATAACGGGAAAAATTGGCCGCGTGTTAGTCCCATTCTGCTTGCATCTACTGCGTCAAACAAGTTGTGCCTTATAATCTATTGTTAGTGATTTAGTTACTGCGGCAGTTATCTCTACATGGCGATACTAATTGTTTACAAGGTGGTCAAGCATGTACAGCCTGTAGGCATAGCTAGTAATGAAATTTTGCAACCGTAATGAATTGAAGATCGCGTTTTATTACCTCTAAAGGCTGCTCGTAAAGGCGGCCTTAGGCAGCCAGTCAGCCATTCACAGTTCCGTAATTGTCCACGGAATTAAATCCTCAGGCAATTCTGCGCCAATCATTCTAGTCAGCGAAGAAACACAGGTTTATGTCGATATATTAACGGGTCTATGTGGCAAGCATTTTGTGCAAAGTGGGTTGTTCTAATAAAACTTCTTCTAATTTTAAATTGCAATATAAAACCGTACACCGATGTATCAATTACTATACATACTTCTTCTGCTTGCATCATATGAGCAAAAATACGACAATACCGCATATACGCTCTCCTATGAACACCATTTGTCATAGAAACAATTCTTATATAGACACAATATTAGGCGAGTTTAACTTTCGTTCCGCTTTAACAGGCTGAAATTTACTGGCTTGCGTTCAATAATAGCGCTCCTAAACTCCTGCTGATGGCGGCACAAAGCACATACAACAATACTTTGTCATAGGAAGAATCTTCGCTATGACAAATAGTGTCAGAGGAAAGGCGTATAGCGTATGTCGTAATTTGCATAGATGAATAAAGCATTTAACAGGGCTAAACTATTTGACATGCAGCTTCTTATGCATATTATTATCTCCATTCATTCAATTGAATACACTAATCCGGTTATGCCCTGTCCCAATCTCCCGGACTTTTACCAGCGATTCCCTACGCCCAAGCGAAACGCCTCGTAGGCCTTCCGCCCGTGCATATTCATTCTCAAGCTATACTTGGGATCGCATGAATGTGTACCTCTCCGTCACTTCGCAGACTAATAGCGGTGGGCCTCTACTAAACCCTACTCTCGACTCGTATGAAGCCGTCTCAAGGCAGAGTAGCAGTAGCTAGAAAAAA